CACACTTATTCATTCACTCCTAGCTTATGACCTAGCTAGAAACAGGGAAAGAAAAACACAATGTAAAGAAACCACTACATGAGAGAGACAACTCAAGCAACTCCCATGGTTTCATTTATGGCTAGGCTTCGTGAACAAAGATATGACGGCTGCACAAATGAAGATATGGGAAGGGCTCTACCCACACTTGCTACAAGCGCGCTGATGGCTAGAAAGGCCGATGCGGGATGGGCAAGTCCAGTTGCAAAAGGCACAGCGGAAAGTCTCCTTAGGCGGTATCGGCAGTCTCAAGCGACCAATGTCCTGAACCACCTGCATCTGCAGCTTCCAGTGCACCTTATCACCTGCCATTTCGTCCCTCGCCTGTCGCTACAGGACTTTACAAATGTGGGTGTAACCTTCAAGTCTTCGCAATGGATTTTTTAGGTGAGGCTCAGCGTGTGCAGAACTGGCCCCACCCTTTACTCCTAAGCTTCATCTGCCGAGGCCTAGCGAGCTTGGATGGTGACAGCAAAGTCCTCAGGACACAGGTTTAGTTAGAGTATCCTTGTCTTGTATGGATGGCCTTACAGGGCTAAACGAGCTCCATCTGCCTGGGTTTGGAGGTAGAGTTGTCCTTCTCCTAGGATGGTTGCCAGGAGGATAGCAAGCCCGTCCTACTTGTGGACACACTTAGTGTGGCCCTTCAGTTGAGATTTGTATAGTTTACATTACAAGGAAATGCCACGCTTTACGACTCCAACACTTATCAGAAAATACTCACGTCACTCTGCAGATCGTAGGCCTGCTTCGCATGGATGACATCGTTCTGGTCTGGCAGGCACGTCCACTGATGCAGATAGTGGCGGTAATCAACATCACTGACCAGCTCCTGACATTTCTTGGCCAACACGATTCCCAGCATGTCCACGGGGCTACTGAAGTGTGTCTTTGACTTCTCAAAGGCTTTCTTGTACTCCCTGTCACTCTGGATCTTGGCCACGTGCATCGACCACATCATCTTTGGATCGTCCTCTATGTTACGGGCTCCGATGTGGTGGCCAAGCTGCTTGCGATAGCCTTCCTTATACTTGTACTTGAGGCAAAAAAATGTTCAGTCAGTTTTTGTCTCATTTTCCTTATGTCCCTCTCAGTCTCTGTGGCACAATCTCTGGACAATTTAGCATTCAAATCACAGAGCTTTTAGAGTGAGTAAGTATTCAAATCATGAACTGCCATATGCAGCTACAGAAGGATTCATATAACATTTATTGCCTGATATGATTTTCTCATTTTCAAAGGCACTGACTGGCCTACATATTAAGACCTACTACTCAGTAACCAAATTATGGCAGCGATACTAAACACCCAAACTACAATAAATACCCCATATTAAAGGAACCAAAGAGTGACCTTCAAGCATGAAAGTCAAATAATGCCTGATCAATCAATTCAGGAGACAAAAAAATAAAATCAGAGATAGGCATGGAAGGGCAAATAGAGACATCAAACTTATCTATGGAACACTTTTATATCAATAGCGAATAATAATAAATAACTTACTTTTATGATACTTTTGTATTTACGTAAAAAATTAATTTGGGTTTTCTTTCCTAAATGTCCATCTCAGCTGTGGAGCT